AAATAAATCTAATCGAAAAAAAAAGTTGACCGACACTGTCAAAGCTGCTACATTTTGTGCCCCACATTTTTCCTTTCATCAATAAATGTGTATATAAATTATCAATATAAAAGTTGATTCTCATTTTTTAATTATTGGGATAATTGAAACTTATGAAGTTTTTGATTGGATTGAAGAGGATTCTAAGGATTTTTTAAGTTGGGTCTTTTGTGTTCTTTTTATAGGGATCTGGAGGATGGGGCGTGTAAAAGGGATTGGGCATCGGATATTAAAATCATATTTCAGATTTTCTTAATTCTTATGTGCACTGAATGAATGTGCATTATTTAGGCTTTTTTTTTTTTGGCTCGATGGCTACTTTCAGAGGCAAATCTATTTGAACCAATGTGAGGCTTGAATCTTTTTTTATTTTGTAATTTCTATCCTTGTTCTTGCTATTATTCTTGCTATTAGTTTGTTTACAGTCTATTATATATGCTTGTTTAAAGTGTTTTAAAGTGTGATAAAATGTTGAATTCCTTTTCATACTGTGAACCTTGATTGTTTTTTAAATTTTTTTTTTATTCATTGTGTTTCCTGTGGAATTTTAGATTTATCGATTATTAAATTATTCTTTGGGATGAAAGGAGGGTGTTTTTGCTATTTTTACATAAAATAACTGATTTTTAGTGTAGTTAAGAGTTGGAAATTCGCAGTTTGTGTTTTTTGAGTGTTTTTATTATGTAAATTGTATTAATAAATCCTAGACCCTAAATCATCCTTTATGAAATAATTTCTGCATCTTACATTAAGTTTATGAATAAAGCTTTTAAAAACCTGATTATTTCTGTTGCTATTACTTTTATCCTCCTATGTCTAGAAGTGAAGTTTTGAGTTGTTCTGCATGCTAACATCTTGTACAAGTTTGAAAATCTTGCAATCCTTTCATTTTAATTTTTTTCTCTTTGGATAATTGTTTCTTTAACATTATTTTTATATGCTTGAAGAATGAAGTTTTTGACCGAATGTTTTTGTTTTCTTACAACTTGCAAATGACAAATTTGTATTTTCTATAGAAACAATGCTGATGCTCCACTTGTTCATATATATATATATATATATTTTTATGGATAGGACCTGGACGAACTGATACAAGCATGTTCCCTGAGGTAAATAGTACATGGAAGGTATGCACAAGAGTTCTTTATTGTTAGAAGTAATATTCGTTTTTTCTTAGTTGATGTTGTATTCCTGTTCATTATTCTTTTCGGAGTTATGATTCTTACAGATCCCCTCCTCAAGATAGCATGATTTAATTTTAATGCCTGGAAATATTAGACTGATCGTGCAATATTTTGATTGTTATTTTTAATGTGCTTGTACTTTATATTTACTTTAGTCAGAGGAGTTTTAGATGGTGACGAAGAGATCCTTTGCGCGCCATTAACCATGGAACCATGCAAATTTTAATTTGTTCTACATTTTTTTGACTTTCATGCATAATATGTCTGCAAGTTTTCAATTAACCTGGTTGTTTCTAGTCTAGTATAGACTTGAAGGGAAAAATTATTGTTATCTTTGTTAGAAATTATTTAGTTTTTTTTTTTTTCCCTGTTATTTCCTATTTGTTGTATTTCCTACTTTTTGACTTTTCTTTTATCATGGAATAGTTATTAGGGAGGGATTTGGGTATCAGTTTTTTTCCTATTTTAGAATCATTGTATTACGCCTTTCAATAGCAAAAATATTTTACTCAATTCCCAAAACCTACTTGTTATCAAAGCCACGGATCTTACTCTAGCATCGAAACATTACCCTAGCCACTGGAACTTCCGTGCAAGCCTTCCCCTGTAGTTTTTCAGATGTCGGATTCCTTTCCTGCGGTCTCCCCCCTACAGGTTTTAGCCGTCGGTACCCTTTTCTGCAGGCTCTCCCGCCACCGATCGTTCCATTGTTGGCTGTCACACTGCAGGCCAGATCTCCTTCCAAGGCCATTGAAACTCCCTTCTGCAGCCATTTCTCTCCCTTGCATGCCCTCCCTCCGTCGGACCTCCCTTCTGCCAGCTGGAATCTTCCCGTACAGGCCCTATTTTGTTGTCAGTTGCATAAGAGTATCTACGCCTATGTCTCAGCACCCAAACCTCACCTTTGGCTTTGTCAAAGTTATGGTGGATTCATCCATTTCCGAGCTTTCATTCGATGTTGTCTTTGAGTTCACTGGAGGATTGACACCTACCTCAATCTCTCCGTAGATCAGAGGACATAACAATTCTATGAATTTCTTGATTAGCACTCACAAAATCAACGGCTCGAATTTCCTCCAATGGTCTCAAGCTATTTTGATGTTCGTCAAAGGTCGGGGTAAACTCGGACACCTTATAGTTACGATTCTTGTACCTCCAAAGACTACTCAACATATGCAACATGAAAAGTGGAGAACTTCATAGTTATGTCATAGCTGATTAATTCCATGGAGATCTTGGTTGATCGTTCGTACCTGTTTCTTCCGTCTGTCAGTGCCCTCTGGACCACCGTTCAACATACGTACTCGGATGTAGAGAATATTAGACAACTCTATGAAGTTTCTAATAAGATCTATGAGACAAATTAGGGATGAAAGATAGTGACACAGTAATATAACTTGGTTGCCTTATGGATGGAATGTGACATCTACTATGACTACAAGTGGGACTCTCCCGTGGATCTTTCCTTCTTCCAAAAAATTCTGGAAAAAGGATCATGTGTTCCAATTTCTGGCCGGCCTGAACAAGGATCTCGACGAAGCCCGCTGCAGTATTCTAGGTTGTGATCCTCTTCCTTCAACCCGAGAGGTCCTCCGCGAAGAAAGCTGGAGATTTGTTATGCTCGACAACTCCATTAATTCAACCGAGCCTTCAACCTTGGTTCCCCACACTTTGCCACTATATCGCGCTCCAATCATGGTGCTCCACACTCCACATATGATTTTTGTTATAAATCCTACCATACCCATGATAAATATTGGAAGCTTCACGGCAGGCCAACAAATAATTCTACAAACAAATCTTCCGCTACTAAAGGTTTCACTATAACCATAGAATCCACAACAATTCGGCCAGCCTCCACTCGGATCATCCCCGAACCATCAAACTCCATCAAAAGTCATATGAAACACTTTATTAAGCTGTTTGGATCTAGTTAGTTCTCCTCCGACTCGTCGACCTCTTATGTTGTCAAGGTAACATTTCAAAGACATTCACTGGTTTTGTTTCTTCTAGTCCGTGGATTATTGATTCAGGTGCCACGAACCACATGACTCGATGCTCTCAATTCTTCTTGCTCTAGGCAAGACTATTAAAATTGTCGACCGCTTATGTAATTTTATTGCAGGTCAGTTGTACTTATAGCCAGGTTGACTCTGGAATACATGTTACACGTACATTTGTTAAGCTTAACATCTTATTGGTCAGTATGTTGACATATGACATTGATTGCGTTGTTCATTTTTTTCCTGATGTTTGTGTCTTTCAAGATCATTGTTCAGAGAAGATGATTGAAACTACTACGCTGATAGTTGGGCTCTACTTCTTCTAAAAAAATGGCTTTGATGACGTGAACACTCAATCTCATAGTTATAATTTTTCCCTCTCTACTGTTTGTCTAATTATGCTTTTATATTGTCCCTGGGGCATCCTAATTTTCACTATTCAAAACAATTTTACCCTCCGATGTTTTTTTAATAAAAATTCATTTATTTTTAAATGTGAATTTTGTCATTTTGCTAAGCATCATCAAGTACCATATCCACCCCATCGTTATCCTCCATCCTCTCCATTTTCACCAATTCATAGTGATTTATAGGGACATTCTCTAATTGCAAGTACATCAATTGACGGTAGTTCCTTACTCTAATTGATGACCACACTTGGATGACTTGAGAATATATATTAAATGACAAATTTGAAGCTACAGTCATCTTAAAAAAATTTTCACTCTTTCATCTTGATCCAATTCAAAATCTCTTTTGATGTCTTTCGGACCAACAATGGTCGTGACTACTTCAACTCTATATTGAGAGAATTCTTGGTGAAGAAGGACATCTACCTTCATAGCTTCTGTATGGATTTCTCTCAACAAAATGGGATAGTCGAGCAAATAAACCGATGTATTCTCAAAGTGGCTCGTTTCATTATGTTTCTAACTAATGTCCCTAAACATTTTTGGGATGCCGCCGTCTTTATCGCCACCTATCTTATTAACAGAGTTTCAAACAAAATCCACAACTTTCAGACCCCGTTATCCATTTTGATGTCGTGTTTTCCTACCAATCAGTTCTTCTCCACATTTGATACCAAAATATTTGAGTGCACGGTCTTTGTTCGAAACACAACTCCGACTCGAAATAAACATGATCTTCGCTCAATTAAATGTGTTTCCTCTGCTATTCAACTACTTAAACAGGCTATCGATATTTTAATTCTACCACTAGTAAAATCTATTTGTGCGTCGATGTCTCCTTTTTTGAAAATATCTCTTACTTTCCTAACACTACCTCAAGTGAGGGGAGCTAGATTTTCTAGACATTGTTCCTTTTCCAATTCCGTTGGATATTCTACAACCATTGTGTCCATTTTTTTAAATCTCAATCCCACTGGTTCTGAGACCAATCAGACCAAAATCACCTTCATCCACTCTCTGTATCCATACTCAGCGTACCAAACCCTCACCTGAGACTCATCTCAATGCCCCTACACTCGAGCCCGCTGCGCTGCTGCAGGTCTTAGAATTTGCTCCGGCTGACATCCCTAAAACGATGCTCTCTCAACCTATAGGGATCATTTTTGTTCTGAATGAGGAGTTGAATTCTCCCATTGAGGTACGCAAACATGCATGCAGCCTTTATCTCATGGCAAAATACATCTCATTTGATAGCTTATCTCTAACCTACGAAGCATTTGTCACTTCCTTGACGGATCGTTGTCTCCTATCTACTATTAAAGCAACATTGGTTGACCTGTCCTGGAAGATTGAAATCATAGATGAGATGAGAATGCTCTTCGACGCAACCCTACTATAGATGTTGTTAATCTTTCTCTAGAAAGAAAGTAGTTGGTTGCAGGTGGATTCTCAACATCAAATTTAACTCTGATGGATCCTTTGAATGCAACAAGGCGTAGTTGGTCGCCAAAGACTATTTACAAACTTATGAAGTTGATTATAAAGAGACAATTGCTTCGGTAGCTAAACTAAATATCATACGAGTTCTGTTATTCCTTACCATGAATCCGGATTGGATCTTACTCCAACTGGATGTCAGGAATGTTTTCCTTAATGGCGTTCTTGTAGAGGTGTATATGCCTCTCTCGTTAGGCTTTGACTCAACCTCTTCCCATGGACAAGTGTGTCGACTGTGGAACTCTATTTGTGGATTGAAAGAATCCCCCCAACCGTGGTTCAACTAGTTTACACAAGTTGTTGTAAGCCATGATTTCTCTCAATCCCAATCTGATCACACGATGTTCTTCCGCCACTCATCTGATGATAGTAATATCATCCTCATCATCTATGTCGTGACATCTTCCTCATATGTAATGATCTGTCGGCCTTTGAGTTTCTCAAAGGTATCCTCGCCGCATCTTTTGAGATGGACTTAGGTTCTCTCTGATATTTCCTAGATGTGGAAGTAGCGCAGTCCTCTTGGGGCATTAGCCTTTCCCAACACAAATATGTGTTAGATTTACTAACTGAGGTAAAGCTATTTCTTTGCAAACTGGTAGTTGTTCCAGTGGATCCCAATGAGAAATTGGTAGATGTTCCCAATATCTTTCCGGTTAACAAAACAAATTACTACTCCTAGTGGAGAAACTCATTTATCTAGTCCACACGAGCTTAGACATTTGTTATGCCATTGGTATTGTTAGTTATTCTATGCATGATCTCAAAGAGCTCCATCTCACCACTGTCAATCGGATCCTCCGCTACTTAAATACACTAGGTTCAGGTTTGTTGTTCTCTCGTAACACATCTCTCTCCATTGTAATTTATACGGATGCCCATTGGGTCAATAAAGCCGAGTTTCATTTTGTCTCTTAGGGGTATGTGAAGCCTTTTGATCACGCATCATGCTCCGCGAGTTATGTTTGCTGGTCTTCGTTCTTCTGCAGTTGTTTTGTGTCAATAAAGCCGCCATCAGCATATGGAGATTGAT